CTTGGGTTGACTTTTGGGGTCTCCATTGACCTCGGCTTGACCAACCCTTGACTTGAGAGTCTCCATTGACCTTGGGTTGACTTTTGGGGTCTCCACTGACTTCGGCTTGACTTTTGGGGTCTTCATTGACCTCGGCTTGACTTTTGGGGTCTTCATTGACCTCGGGTTGACCCAACCTTGACTTGAGAGTCTCCACTGACCTCGAGTTGACTTTTGGGATCTCCATTGACCTCGAGTTGACCCAACCTTGACTTGAGAGTCTCTATTGACCTGGGGTTGACTTTTGGGGTCTCCATTGACCTCAGGTTGACCCAACCTTGACTTGAGAGTCTCCATTGACCTTGGGTTGACTTTTGGGGTCTCTATTGACCTTGGGTTGACTCTTGGTGTCTCCATTGACCTTGGCTTGACCAACCCTTGACTTGAGAGTCTCCATTGGCCTCGGGTTGACTTTTGGTGTCTCCATTGACCTCGGGTTGACTTTTGGGGCCTCCATTGACCTCGGTTTGACTTTTGGGGTCTCCAACCCCTTGGGTTGACCCAACCTTGACTTTTGGGGTCTCCATTGACCCCGACTTGCCCAACCCTTGACTTTTGGGGCCTCCATTGACCTCGAGTTGACTTTTGGGGTCTCCATTGACCTTGGGTTGACTTTTGGGGCCTCCATTGACCCCGACTTGCCCAACCCTTGACTTTTGGGGTCTCCATTGACCCCGACTTGCCCAACCCTTGACTTTTGGGGTCTCCATTGACCTTGGGTTGACTTTTGGGGTCTCCATTGACCTCGGGTTGACTTTTGGGGTCTCCATTGACCTCGGGTTGACTTTTGGGGTCTTCATTGACCTTGGGTTGACTTTTGGGATCTCCATGGACCTCGGGTTGACCAACCCTTGACTTTTGGGGCCTCCATTGACCTCGAGTTGACTTTTGGGGTCTCCATTGACCTCGGGTTGACTTTTGGGGCCTCCATTGACCTCGGGTTGACTTTTGGGGCCTCCATTGACCTCGAGTTGCCCAACCCTTGACTTGAGAGTCTCCATTGACCTCGAGTTGACTTTTGGGGTCTCCATTGACCTCGGGTTGACTTTTGGGGCCTCCATTGACCTTGGGTTGACTTTTGGGGCCTCCATTGACCCCGACTTGCCCAACCCTTGACTTTTGGGGCCTCCATTGACCTCAGCTTGACTTTTGGGGCCTCCACCGCCCCCGCCTCCGCCCCTCTCCAACCTCCTCCTCCCCCCCTCTCCCCCAGGCTCCTCCTCCTCCCCCGGCGGCGTCGGCGTCTTCCTGCTGGGCCCGTCTCCGTCGGCGCTCTACGTGTCGCAGGCGCCGCGCCTGACGTGCCTGGCCACCAGCCTGCCCAGCGACGAGGGGCTGACGGTGACGTGGAGCCGCGGCGGCGCCGGCGCCCGGGGCGGGCTGAGGCCCCTCCCGCTGCGCTTGACGCCGCACGTCAACGGGACGTTCACGGCCGCGAGCGAGCTGCCGGTGACGGCGGCCGACTGGGAGAGCGGCGACGAGTTCACCTGCACGGTGACCCACGGCGAGATGCCCGCGCCCGTCGCAAGGAGGGTCAAGAGG